ATTTTAAAATCAGTACAACAATTATAATTATAGACCTCGTTCATTTTACTGATTTGAGTTTTCAGTTTTAAGTTTTCACAGTAAAAAACTCTCAAAAAATATCACATTTAACTTATTTTACTATAATAAAAAATTTTAAAAAAATATCACATTTCAACTCGAATTGAATACTCAACTACTTTTTATAATAATTACTTTTTCTTTCAACACAATTAAAAATAATTTTTTTTTAATTTACAATACTATCAAACTAAAGCCTCAAGCGGTTCCTAAACAAAAATTTAGGGACATTTATGGGATTAGCCAAATTTTTAACGCTGTTTCAGACTCGTTAAACGACAAGTCATTCATACTTCAGAAACCAGAATCTGAATCCCCCGTCTCCGTCCTACAGCCCGCTGTTGGAACCTGCAAGAAAGGAGAACAGAATATGATGGCAAAGAGATCAGATTAGCCGTGAAAATCCATTTGAATCTGCGTTGGGAAGAAAAATGTCGAAGCTTTTCTCTAGAATTGCTAGGTTCTTCGGCAATAGAACTCCCATGGGAGTTGACAAAGCCGGGAATCGATACTTCGCCAGAAAAGAAGAGATCGACGGCGTCAGTAAGTGGGTCTCAATCCTCTTTCTGATTTCTTTTCTCCTTCTATATTTTTCTCATTGCTCTTCAGCATAAAATTTGCTTTCTGGGTTTTTTCTTTTCTTTGTTTTTTTTTTTTTTTTTTCAATTGCCAAGTTTTTTTGTTTAGTGAAGTTTATTATGACCAGTATTTCCATTTTGCGAAACTGGGGTTTTTTTTTTTTAATTTTAAAAGTTTTGTTTTACCCTTCATGGGTTTGTTGTTGAATTAAATTGTTTGCTTTGTGGGGTTTTCAGCAAATTCTACCATTGTGTCATCACAGTTTTGTTTTGGCTGACAAAGAACGATTAGGAAGAAGAAATGATATACCAAGTTATTAGTTAGTTAATTTTTTATAGTACGGATCCAATAGAGCTAAAATTCTTTTTTTTTTCTTTTTGCTAAGGGCTTGTTTGGTAGGAGGGAAAAGTGGGAGGAGGGAGAGGGGTAATATTATTATATATTATAGTGTATTACACACGGTTATATAATATATTAATTATAATATATTTGTTTAATATAATATAATAATGATTATATAATACATTATATTATATTATAACATAATATAGTTGTAATTTTAATTATGTAATATTATAATATATTTTATAATATTGTAATTATATTAATCATTTTAATAATATTATTATATTTTATATCATAGTTATATAATATGTTATTTAATAGTAGTTTTATTGTATTATATTAAATATAATAATAAATATACATTATATTATATTATAATTATATATTATTTTATAGTATAATATAATACAATATAATCGTTATTTTTAATTATTTTAATTATTAATTTAACTTCATAATTTATCAAACGTTATTACATTGATTTTAAAATCAGTACAACAATTATAATTATAGACCTCGTTCATTTTACCGATTTGAGTTTTCAGTTTTAAGTTTTCACAGTAAAAAATTCTCAAAAAATATCATATTTAAATTTTTTTACTATAATAAAAAACTTTAAAAAAATATCACATTTAAACTCAAATTAAATACTTAACTATTTTTTATAATAATTACTTTTTCTTTCGACACAGTTAAAAATATTTTTTTTTTCAAGCGGTTCGTAAACAAAAATTTAGGGACATTTATGGGATTAGCCAAATTTTTAACGCTGTTTCAGACTCGTTAAACGACAAGTCATTCATACTTCAGAAACCAGAATCTGAATCCCCCGTCTCCGTCCTACAGCCCGCTGTTGGAACCTGCAAGAAAGGAGAACAGAATATGATGGCAAAGAGATCAGATTAGCCGTGAAAATCCATTTGAATCTGCGTTGGGAAGAAAAATGTCGAAGCTTTTCTCTAGAATTGCTAGGTTCTTCGGCAATAGAACTCCCATGGGAGTTGACAAAGCCGGGAATCGATACTTCGCCAGAAAAGAAGAGATCGACGGCGTCAGTAAGTGGGTCTCAATCCTCTTTCTGATTTCTTTTCTCCTTCTATATTTTTCTCATTGCTCTTCAGCATAAAATTTGCTTTCTGGGTTTTTTCTTTTCTTTGTTTTTTTTTTTTTTTTTTCAATTGCCAAGTTTTTTTGTTTAGTGAAGTTTATTATGACCAGTATTTCCATTTTGCGAAACTGAGGGTTTTTTTTTTTTTTAATTTTAAAAGTTTTGTTTTACCCTTCATGGGTTTGTTGTTGAATTAAATTGTTTGCTTTGTGGGGTTTTCAGCAAATTCTACCATTGTGTCATCACAGTTTTGTTTTGGCTGACAAAGAACGATTAGGAAGAAGAAATGATATACCAAGTTATTAGTTAGTTAATTTTTTATAGTACGGATCCAATAGAGCTAAAATTCTTTTTTTTTTCTTTTTGCTAAGGGCTTGTTTGGTAGGAGGGAAAAGTGGGAGGAGGGAGAGGGGTGATGGGATTAGTGGAATGATTTTAGTACCTATAGTTGTTGGCAGGATATAAAAGAGGAGAGAATGGATTGATTGAGTGATTTCAAATCCTTGATAGTATTCAATTTAGTCACACGCTATAAGAAGGTAATCTCCTTCCTCTTTATATTCCTCACCTTCTTTCCTTCCTATTTTCCATCCCTCTTACCCAATATAGCTTAAGTAAGAAGAGTTTTTCTGCGCTTTCATATATCCAATCCAAGCCATTAATCTTTGAAAAATATGAAGCCTGTATTATAACCTGCAACTTTTATGTGTATATAATTGATTCTTCAAGTTGCTATATTTTAATGCTTTTGTGTTTCTCTGTCTCAATTTTGTAATATTGTAGTGAAAGAGAAAAGATGGGTGGTATTTAAGGGAGAAGACGATCCAACTTCTATTCCAGGTAAATACTTTTTGTCTTGAGTGAACTAGGGAGCATTTTCTTTGTTGTTTAATCAAATTACTAGCATGGTTTCTCTGTTTTCAGCTGTTAAGTAAAGCATAGATACCTACTGTTACGGATTAAATGCTCTCATCTTTTACTGACGAGAGGAATAAATGAAAAGAAAAGACAAGCAAGCAAATATTGGATTTGTAATGGTTCACCTTAATGCGAGAGCTACGTCCATTTTCAACCGCTACTTTAGAATTTCACTATGATGAATAAGAAGATTACAAGAGAATCGCGTGCCTTAGTCTCTTACCCTCTGTATTTCTCTTTAACCTAATTCTCTAAACAGCATTCTCCGATGCAAGAGTAATTATGACAACCGGTATGAGAAACCCAATAGACACGTACTAGTAAGATCTATTTGCGTGCTTACTCTACATCAGGGTGATAATTAGGCTTCACATGCTCACAACTACTAACATACATCTTTCTAGATGCACATAGCGTATTGGCTTACGTTGGACAAGGATACATTTTGGAAAGAATCAATAAAATGATATATAGAATATGCAGAGGTGGACTATTATCTGTTATTCTTGCGTATGTTTCATGTATTAAAATTGATGCTTGCCTTTGGATCATTATAGTTGAATGGATATGTTGGCTAAATGGACAGCGCAAAAAAGCTCCAATGCCAGAGGTGAGCCCAGAAACTCCTTTAGTTTCATTTCCACGCACGCACATTCATCGACCACTCTTTAAATTTTCAGCTCTGGAACTCGAAGAATAGTAGAGATCAAATGATATCTTAGCGTGGAAACTGCTATTCTATGATTCCTTTGTTTTATCTTTTCTTTTAGAAATATTTCTTTCTGTGATATATATGCATATTAGTTTGACTTATTGCTTGGAAGAACCTATGTTTGTTGGTCTGTTATATTTTATAACGTAATTTAGAGATGATAGAAAATCTTATGATAAGTTTCAACTCTCATTTTGGGTGATTTTGTAGATAGCCAAGTTGGGTACCATAAAGTAAAATCAAATCTTGTTATTTTGATTTTTTCACTCTCATAATACTGTTCATCATCGTCCCTGTTTAGGAAATAGAAGAGTTGGAAGCAAGGCGTGAGCGTGTGCGTCAGAATGTTGCTTGTACGCATGATTTTGTTTTATTTTGTTTATTTATTTTATTACATTTTCTTAAATAAATTCCATTTTGTTTCTTCTGATACTCTCTGGTTTATGACCATTCTTAACTCCTTTTTTTTTTTTTTTAATAACCTTACATCTGTTACTTCCTAATATTCCTTTGTCCCATTCAAGTTGGTCTTCTCTTGTAGCTTCTTTTCTGTTATATATGGTGACCTAACCTCAACTCTTTTCATTCCATGAAGTTCTAAAGAAAGAAGAAGAGGAAAAGAAGCTAAAAGAAGGCAGTGCACGCAAAGGCACCAGCATAGGTGAGCTGTTAATTGAAATATTTAAGCACGAGAATACTTGAACTTTTTGGTGAGCCTGGGCTTGGGCTCAAAGAAGTGCTTGAGCCCATCCGTTGGGTAGATTCGTAAATGACTACTCGAAGTAAGGTTCCAAATGAGTGGTGCTTGGGGCGAATTTCCGAGTCTGGTCTTGAGTGGTGTTTAAGGGATTTGGCTGCGTCTCTCCTATCAGTTGCAACTTTTGAGAGGAATAGTTGTGCCATCTCCTACATTAAATATCTCGCTATCATTAGTATTATTCTACTTATGCAGTTACTGCATTTCATTATCGCTCTCCGTAGGTAAAGTTGCAGGTCCGGACTTGAGAAGTTTTATTCGGCAATTTCCTGGTTCTTCCCAAGGTATTACTCATAACGTCTTTTTCTTTTTCCCCCCAGTGAGGACAATACGAACCATTTTCTGCCAAAAAAATTTCCATATATTCAGGCTTCTGTTTGCAATTATAATTCAATGAAAATGGCTTGGAATTTGGATTAGTTGATTATCATTTTGACAGGGGTTTCATTGTTAATGAATGTAGTTATCTATCTAATCCTTAATTTCACCAGTATGTTACTCATATAATGATAATCACCTGTAGAGCACACTTTATTATGGTTCACACATTATATTCCTTCTCCATTCTCAAAGGTGACAAGGTTGAGGAAGAAACTGACACTGCAGAAGGAGCGAGGTGGATGATGTCCCTTAATTTTATTTTTTATTTTTATTTTTTCCTTTTTTGTTTTTGGTATATCTGCGCTTGAGTTTCTCATCGGCCCTCGTATTTACTTTGATATATAGGCACCATACCAAGAGAGAAGCTGAAAAGGCAAGACTAGTCCCAGAGTAAGTTCCCTAGTATAAGAAAACTCCGAATTTTCTGAGAACAAGAGGGAAAAAATAAAAGAAAGAGGACCAGAATTTAATGTGACTATAATCTTAGCTTAATCTTAGCTTAAGGTGACTATAATGTATTGAACTTAATCTTTAGCTTAAGATGACTATAATGTATTGAACTCTCTATTCTTGTCTTTCCTTTCCCAGGTCTTCAGAGCCAATGGGATCCGGTGAAACGTACCGGCCAGGGACATGGCAGCCGCCGACATGAACTGCGTGGTCAGGCTTTACTCTTTAGCCCCAGAAGGCCAGCTAAGTTTGCTGCTGACAATACCTTGGCTAGTGAAGCACATTCTTCTTGTTCTTAGCCAAACGGAAATACAACATTGAGTTTAGAATTATTATTATTATTTTTTTAATTTTATAATGAAAATAGAGCACATTCTTTATCTCAGATATGAATTGAATTGTTTGAGCCTGTTTCTTTCGGCATCCTTGTCAGATTTCTTTGTTTCATGTTAGCTGCATGCAAATATTGCATGACAAAAATTCAATAGATCCCATTTCAGAATAACAAATCGAAATTGAGTAAAAGACTAAAAAGTTTTTATTTTTTATTTTTCCTTTCTCACTCATAATATTAGTCGTACGTGCTGTACAAATGATACGCAAACCTATACGTTTATCACTAGTGTTTGGTAACTCTCTAGTCACAATTGAGGAGTTTCAATTTAACTCTAACGTGGAACTCAATCCAGCAAATAATAATTGAGCTTTGGAGCAAAAAGAAAAAAAAAAGAGTACTAATAATATTTATAAAAATAATTGGAGCTTCTCAAAAGTGTTATACACCTGTAGTAACTCTAAAGTTTTATGGTAGGTTTAGTTCACAAATTTAAAAAAAAAATATTAAAAAATAAAAAAAATGAGATAAATATTTTTTAAAAATATATGGGTATGAATTTTTATTACTTACTCTTGATTAATACTTTTTTGACTCAAATAATAATATTAATAGAAGAATATTAATTAAGAGTAATGAGTAAAAATTTAATACTATACACTTTGAGGATAAGTTCAACAATTTTTTCAAAAATAATATTTAAGTTTATGTGAAAAAACATTGTAGTAAAAGAATTTTGAAAAAGTTTGAAAAAAGATATTCAAGTTTTTGTGAGAGAATACTGTAGCAAAAGGTTTGAATAATTCAAACCCATATGGATCATTTTTGGGGTGCTCTATTAAAATTTGTTAGGCTAATCCAATCAATTGTCACCAAAATTTACTTTTAATATTAATTTTGATCCTTAACTTTTAAAACATTTCAAACCTAACTTGGTCTGTTAATTTGTTTCAGTTTTAACGTTTTCATCAATTGAGGGACTGTTTAGTTTGCTGATTCGAGTTAAAATATAACTTTATGTGAGAGTATTTTTTTGTAACAAAAAAGTTAGATGTAACTATTTCTGAGAACTTTTTACTGTAGCAAAACTTAAATTCTAAACTGAGTGTTTAGAAAACGAAATGTGCGTGTGATGTTGATGAAACTAACACTCTTCTGACAAAACACAGAGGACGGACATGATGCTAATATAAAATACTAAGCCTATTTGGTTTTTTCTTGACAGAAGGAGAGTATGCACGAGATGCTTATTGAGCATTGCCTCATTCAATCTTTTCATATATTTCTGATTTTCAGTTGAATGATTAGCTCTATTTATTTTTTTTTATTATGTTCAACCCAATTAATCTACCTAACACACCTGAATTTTAATTAGGTGGGTTAAATTTAAAATCAACCCACCTGAACTTAATTAGATGGATTGAAAAATCTCAAAAACCCATCCAACCCACTCGATGTTCACTTCCCTCCTAAACTTAAGTAACTCTTGCAAAATTTCTCTCGTTATTGAATTTTTACTTCCGTTATTGTTGTTGGTTGTCATTTATGAACCCTCAAACGTCTCTAGGTCAAGCAAATTAAAGATAAAGTTGGGTATAATACAAAATAATAATAACTCATATTATGTAATTGTACTTTCATATGACTGCATAAGAGCTAACAAAATTATTCGAACGACACTCATTATTTGTATAATACGTGTTATTTATATTAAAAATCTTAACATAAGGAGTTTTTTTTTTGTTAATTCTTACATTTTACATGACATTTTTCATCAAGAATTTAACATATAAGAAAATTTTACAAGAACTATTGAAGTTCGAGGAAAAAAAAAAAGATAAAACTAAAGTGCATGGAGCATTTTCTGATAAGATCTATAGTTCGAGAAGCAACCGTGTAGTTTGTAAAAAAAAAAAATATGATTATATCATATTTAATCTATGGTTAAGTTTTATGCTACAATACATAATGTTATTTTATATTTTATATTTACGTTTTTAATGAATTATGCTTGCGTTTAGTTGATAGATTCGTATTATGATTTGAATCATAATTCGTTATTCACTACAGTATTTTTTCTTATAAAAAATACATATAAATCAATAATAATTTTAAATCATGATTCTAAATCTATGAATCAAACGTAAATTATAAGATGATGTTTGGTTTATGTATTCAGAAACATAATTCAGAATAATTCTCGTTTTACGTATATTTTTTGTGAAAAAAAATACTGTAGAGAACCATGAATTATAATTTAGAATCAGAGACGAATATAGAAACAAACTCCCCTAAGTTTATCATTCATGAGGTCATCCCAAATTTCATATCGGTGACGTGTTGCCAAAGAATAAGGTCCTGTTTTTTTCACTGATTCGAGTTTTGCTATAATAAAAAAGTTTTTAAAAATAGTCACATTTAATTTTTTTATTATAATACAAAATTTTTACAAAATATCACATCTCAATTTAAATTAAAAACTCAAATTAACGAATCGAACGGGCCTAGAGCTTAAACCCTCGGGTGTTCACGAACGTTCCATAATATAATAAAAGAATACCCGAAATGTATGCCCGTGTAGCTTTGTCAACATAAATATATTTATGGACAACGACAGACTAGACATTAAACAATCATTATCCACATTACAAAACATCCCGTCCATCACCGTCAATTGTCTCCTTCATCCCATCCAACGGCCGTCAAAATGCCACGTCACCCTCTCCTTCACAGTTGAATTTTCAAAAAATGTCACTACTCACTACGTACAAAAAAACACCTCCTTCGTCTTCTACTACTAAAAGTTACTAATCACGTTCCTCCTCTTCGGACACCATTTTTTAGCAGAAGCTGCTCTCTCTCTCTCTCTCTCTCT